AATGACAGTAATGACAACCAAAAGGACATGTGAAACGAAAAGAAAGTAAGCGAACCACCCTATCTTGAAACAACCCAGCCAAAGAAATGCGGCAGCTAACCAAGGAAGTACAAATAAATGTGAGCGTGTTTTACTAATAAGCTAGATCAAACATCACTAATACAAACAGTCTTAAACATACTATATGAAAGGAATAAATAGAAAATGTTTCAACACTGACTTCTATCTAAATTCTAAACAGGGGAACCAACTTAGCTTTATGTGAAAACCAAAGAGAGGGCATATAATAGGTTTTGACACTTCACAAACTCTTCTTATGATCTGAAAATCCGGACAAGCATCAGTACAAAATGCTTACATAATTCCATCCATCTATCTAAAGAGGGGCTCATGCTGTAGCTGCAACCGATAGATGGAGCAGCACCTGCAGCAAAATAGAGAAGTCACATCAAATAGAGGCGAACACAAGGCAACCAGCGATGCAAATTAAATGGTTTGGGATGTTATATATCATATAATATTGTATTTAACTACACATGTATTCATTCCATCTATCTTTTATCCGGATTATTTAGGACATTGTTATTCAAACTGTTAACGACGAATTTTCTCAAATATTATGAAGCTAAAAACACTCGTACATATATTAACTCTAGCAATTTGTATGCATTTTACAATAGTACAATTATGATAGCTTCAGACCGTTTAACAAAATTCCAACTAAAAGATAAGCACCTCAGCAGTTGTGTTTCAAAATAGCAGCTGAACCACATGCAAGAGAAAGATCTTAGGCTACTAAACATGTCAACAACCATTTTCTTCTTCACACAATGTAAATAGATTTAGACCTTCAAGAATAGAAGACGTCGATACAACTCTGAATCCAATAATGACTATCATTCAAGAAGTTAGACCTGACTGGTAGTGAAAATCAGATATTGATGCTAAACTCATTAATTTTATCCAATCTATTGCAACTTGCTTCCAAGAGGGAGAGAGATAGATATTTACTTTTGTTTCAGCTTGCTCAAGAAGAAAGTTGCAAATAACAATCAACAAATATGCCATCATAGATTGCCTGAAATACATTAATAAAGCACACTCTGATAATACCGCAAATATTGTTCTTCTGTTAAAGAAGATACATAAATAAAGGGGTTGCCCTTACCAAAATTCAACGCAAATAAATAGAAAATCAGATTAACCAAAAAACATACAAGATAAAGGAGTTGGGATATACACATTTGTTGGTTCCTTGCATCTTGTGGCTTTTAATATTATGTACTATTTAGTTGTAAAAGAAAATATGTTGAAAGAAAGCAAACCTTTGACCATTTTCCTATCAGATCCAGATTAAATATAATATTAGATATATGTTTTCAATGGAAGCCCTCATCGAGCTGGCTCTTGTCGCCCAACTTTGCATGTGCTGCACATATGCAGATACAGGCATCAGGAGGAAATCAAGATCGATTGTAAGTCTAAAAGCATGCCCAGATTCAACCGAACTAAACCCTCTCGCTTGCTCTCCATCGCTACTCCATGGAACAAGTGCACCGTATATGATTAGAATCAATCGAGTCTCCATGCAAATCGATCCAGTCAGAAGGTATTCAAGTATTAGCAAATACTATTAGATATGTGTAGTATGTAGAAACTGCTCTGGTTTATTGAAGACTCGATGCACAATTAGTTTACACCTGATTAGAACTACTCTAGTAACTCTTTGGTTTATTGAAGACACGATGAAAGGAATCATGCACCGTCCAAACAAAATTGAGCGGAAGGCAGTAGAAGATTGATGACTCGTCATGGTTACCTACAGTTGTACATTCTTCTGAAACTGGATGTTGAGCAGGATCTTTGGTAATAATATTTAGCTAATCTCCTTCTAATAAAAAGTTCACCCCACTATGCCTAGTGTCACTCTGAGATCGATGGATTATCGCTCTGCACTAAATTGGATAGCAACATAAGAGTTGCATTTTCTGTCTCCTCCATCAGGCATGTGATACACACCAGTCATTTAACCCGTGTTAGTTAGACAAACGACTCAAGTGTCCCATGATTTCAACCAGTTCACATACTATTATTAACTAGCTGTAACAGGAAATGCATGGCACCAGCAAACTGTACCTAGATTAATGGAAACCTAATATATGTGATAATCTCCAAAACTGAACTTGATGAATAAATACACAAATGGGCTACAGTTAGTAATTTTGTTCTCATTTCTAATTGTTTAGATTGATCCACAGTTCGTAGCGCAAATTGTTTGATGCTACAAGGTCAGACAATTACCCGTTGCTATAGATGCATTCCAGTAAACACTTTCTAGCATAAACGAACTTGGATATGGAAGTTTTCGAAGCTAGGAAGGACCACCAGAATCGCCGCATGCTGCTCTCCTAATTATGCCGCCGACGATGTAGAGGCGTCCCCGGCGGCTGCCCGTGGCCGCGTATGTCCCCTGCTCGAGATTGAGATCTTGGGACGGGCAGGGGTGGCAATGATGACAACCCTTGGCACGGCGAGAAGAGAGAGGATCCCAACTGCCAAAAGGCTGGAGAAGAGAAGTACCTGCTCATCCCGAGCGCTCGCTTGGCGAGAAGGAGACCTACAGGTGGAGGTCCTTGCCGCTGCCGCAGACACGGTCGAGGTCGAGGTCGATGTCGGAGGCGGCAACGGTGATGGCGACGGAGACGGCGCCCACCTTCTCCAGTGGCCAGCGCTGGACGAGCAAGGATGGCGCCGGTGGCTGTGGCTGTGGCGGCGCCGACGGAACCCTAGCCGCCGGTCAGGATGGAAAAGAAGGAGAGGAGGTTGCGTTGGGAAAAAAAGAACTGCTCTCTTTTGTCCCTACCCGTGGAACGACGCGTTTTCTTTCCCCCTCTCTCAGCCAGTACGCAACCTAGCTCCCTCACCATTGGCTGGCACGCACAGTGTGCCTTTGCCGACGTGGCACGCGCGAGCAAGCGCCATTTGCGCGACGATGAATGGGTTTAATGTAGATTGCACCGCCAAGGTAATTAACGCTCTCACTCCTTTGTTGAACTCGTAGCCGATAGTTGATGGATGCTTCTTGCAGATCTATAGATCTTGCTTTCTTATGTGGAGTTGAGTGCCCAATTGCCCATAGGTTGCATCGGTGCCTCTCCCCATTTTTGTCCATCTGCTCTTGGTTGCTCTACTTCTAGTTATGGCTTTGTGTACTTGTCATTTCATCACCCCTTTAGGTTCGAATCCGGCTTACTGTGATTCTATTTCTGATTTACACATGGTCACGCCTCGTCACCTATTTGGTTTGAATCTGGGTGAAGCTTCTACGCTCGATTTATGGTGGCATCGCTAATTGTATTTGCGTAGTATAAATTTGGGTGGACGTGCTTCTATTTGATTTATGGTCGCATCTAGTTATTTTTGCATAGATATGTGTTTTCGCATCTAAACTTCTAATTAGCATATTTCTCTAATAGTCTAATCTATTGTTATGTTGCGCAGGAGTCTTTGTTTCTGTCGTGGTGAATTGTGATCTAGCCTTTGTGGAGATAGGTAGATTGAACCGGCCAGGTAAGTTTTTTGCCCCCCCTCTCCACCCCATCATTTTTTTGCGTTCACCCGGTCTAGCTCTGCCATATATGTGCTTGTTTGAAAATGTGTTAACGAATTGTTGTCTTGCGGTGTAACGCTAAACTCTTGATTTTATAATTTCGTTGCTACATTTATCTAAACTTGTAATTAACACATCTACTTGATTCTAAACGTTACAAGGGAATTATGTCAAACTCTCCACATTCTGCTGGTACTGCAGATATATGTGCTTACCTTGCTATTTTGGTTCCTAAATTTTAGATAAACTTAATCCTGGAAATGCTATAGTTTCGGCTACAGTGCACTTCTCCATGTTATAGCAAATTACATGGTCATAATATTATTATTTTTATAAGTTTGATGTGCGCTGTAGTATATGAAACTATGGATTGGGACACCATTGTTATTTATTGGTACATTTTCCATCTCATGCATTGAATAATCATTCAACAATATATTTTACATGTCCACTGAGTGTAGTAAGCGAGCATCCAGAAATAAGAGAAGGATGCATCCACAAGCCTCCTCAGCGATTTGGAAGATCCGACCGTCCATCTCGATTCCTTGATGCGTTTACAGCCTTCGGATCGTGAGCTGGGAGGATCTGGGCCGTCGGATCTGGAAGAAACACTGCTGGACTGAATAGTAATGGCAACATAATGTAAATACCATGCCCCGACTAGGGCATTTTCGTAATTTCGCGTGACGGGGGTATAAAAGGGCCGGCTCCCTTGATGAACCCTAGCCGCTCGCCCCGCCCCGTCGTCTCGCCCGTCCCGCCGCCTGCCGTCTCGCCCGCCCTACCGCCCCGCCCCGCCCGGCCGCCCCGTTCGCCGCCGCCACCTCTCCTCCCCCGCGCCCCGCCGCCTCGCCCGGCCGTCCCGCTCGCCGCG